CTGCGGCTCAACGGCGGCTTCAGACTGGCAGCCCACCGTGATCGCCCCTGCCAAGCGTCCCATTGAAGAGCGCCCGGAATGTTTCATCGACGGCGCCTCCTTGCGGGCTCTTGCAATAACTAGCGCGCGGCTAAACAAGAAAGCATGCATTGCCTACACCCGCTGGAGCACATGGGGCGGCGTGCTAGCCCAATGGAAGACCTCATCATCGTCGATTGCACGCTACTTCGCGGCTGAAAGAGCCCAGCCTTACCCAGGACTTCGTGTAAAAAACAACGGCAACCTGGTGCCAGTGGCGGGCTTACTGAGGTTAGCTTCGATACAGAGCGCCTGGCGTGCGCGCCAGCGCACGCAGGGTTATGGCGAGCTCTCCTCCTTCTTCTCCTTTTTGCTTCAGCGGTTAGCTGACCCCCCCTCTCTTGTTTCACGGGGATCTTCCCTCGCGGCTGGGGTTGCCGCCCACACCGCTGCCGGATGGAGCTCCGTCAGCTTGGACCCCGCGCAAAGTTTCACATTGGGGGTGGGCGGCGAGGTGCCCACTGGCTGCATTAGGCTGGCGCCACCCCCCTGCTGATGGCCGAAAGGGTCCAGCGGGATCTCGATCCTCTGTTGACAGGTACGGCGCAAGGATTCCGAGTTCGGCAGGTGTCGCCATGAGCGCTCACTTTCCACCGGAGCTAATTTGGCCCAGTCAGGGCTGGCATAGCCACGGCTGGCACAGTCAGGTTTGGCATAGTCAGCGCGGACAGAATGGCACAGCCACGACTGGCACAGTCAGCTTCAACTGCTCGAGACATGTCTCTTCCCCCCTCCTCTCATTCCGCGTGCCTGGCGTGCACTTCCTTCGCCTGCATCCTAATGCTGCAGCGGTTAGCTGCTGCGCCGGGGTGCCTGCGGTGCCTGGCGTGCACTTCCCCTCCTCTCCTCTTGCACCCTTGTGCCGCAGCGGCAGCTGTTGCACCGGGGTGCTCCCCCTCCTGTTTCACAGGGTTCTTCCCTGGCGGCTGGGGTTTGCTGCCCAATACTGCTTCCTGACGGCGTTCAGGTGGTCTGGAATTCACGCAAGGACTCACACAGGGAATGGTGCTGCGTCGCATTCGCTGAGGTCAGGTGCCCCTGGCCTGCTCCTGGCTGGTGTCGGCCCCTACTGATAAGCGCAGGTTCCAGCGGGTTTCTCGCTACACTGCTTACCTTACGGTACCTGGACCTCGGGTTCGGCAAGTGTGGCTCTGTACGCTCGTTGGCCGACGTTCTCCTGCATGGACTTCGCTTTCGGCGAGTGTTACAGGTGTTACTGCCGTTTGCAGTCTTGTCGGTGATGAGGTTGCCCCTCTTCATCTTGCGCCGACACGATGTTTTGGCATTTGTGTCGCCTACGGCACGGATGTCGTCTGGGTGCGCCTGTCGGTCTAGTTCGTCTCTGACGGTGCTGTTTGTCTGACTCACACCGAGCGATCGACCTCTGCGTGTTTATGGTCGTGCCCCCGCGCCATTTTGGCCGCGCTTATTTGATGGTCGCCACCGGGATTTCCAACGCCACCGGGTTTGAGAGTATCGCCCCTCGTTCTCCTTCTGAGTGGCTGCCCGCTCGCTCGCTTCCCTTGCCTTTCTTTTCCTGCTGCCTAGTCGCGGCCCGACTAGTGTTCGGACGGTTTTCGACCCGCTTCGCGAGCCTGTTGACCAAAAAGTATCCCCACCAGCCTTCCTTCGCAGGTGGCATAGCCTGCCACTGCTTTCCCGGCGTCCGACTTGATTCGTGCGCCTGCGTGCCTAAAAGTATCCCCACCAGCCCATCCAGAAACGATGCCCATGAGAGTTGACGGGGGGAGAGGAAGAGACACCCATAGTCAAACAGCGAGGGTGGCTTGGGAGATTCCGTGTGGGAGATTCCGTGGCCATCTCGAGCCTTGGAACGGTCTTTGGACCGATTGGAGCATCTTGGGAGCCATCTTGATCCAGCTTGCGCTATCTGAGCCGTCTTGGAGATCATCTTGGGCTCTCCGAGGCCGTCCGGGGGCCTCTTGGGTGCCTTTTTTCGGGTGCCTCGTGGAGCCCTCTTGGGGCCTCTTGGGGCGCTCTTGGAGCCCCCTTGGGAGCCCTGGAGGGCCTTTTGGGGCCATCTTGGAGGCGGTCCGTCACAAGATGGGGGGGTCCTCGGTTTCCCTCCCCCCTTCGGGGGCCACGATCCTAGTGAGGGGTGTCAAAAGATGGCCCTCCCAGGGACCGAAAAGGACCTTCCGACACCTCGCGACCCCCCCAAAAAAAACCTCAGGGAGGGGAGGGGGAGGGTTCCCCTCCCCGAAGGAAGAGGGGTTGTGGAAGAGGAAAGAGACCCTCCTTAATGCACCTGTCGCCCAAATGGCTGGTGGGATTTCACACCGTCTTGAAGGTCTCTTGGACCCTCCTTGGAGATCCTTGTCCCCGGGCGCTCCTGAAATGCCTCAAATGGGCTTCGATGTTGACGCACATCTCCAAAAGACGTCAGAAATGCCCTCAATAGGAAGGGGGCGAACGAGCCGCGCGCTGGGGCCAAGCTGCTGGAGCGCTGCAAGAGCTCGGACACGAAGGTGCGGTCTCGGTACCGCCGCCCTGGCCGCCGCCGTGCGTGCAGGTTTTCGGCAGAGTCTCCACCGTTCCTCCGAGAACCATTCCAGAAAAGGTGTCGTGGGCAGAGTGGAGTCCACGGGTCAGCCCCAGTCTGTGTTTCAATTCCAGGCGACGCGCGTGCGAGCACGAGAAGCAGTGGCAGCGCCCCAGGCCGCCAGAGCCCGCGGGCCGCGCGGGGGGCCTCCGGGGCGCTCCTCGACGGCCCCAGGAGGCCCCTAGAGCGCTCGCCGACAGCTCCAGGAGATCGCCCCAAGACGGCCCCACGGACGCCCAAGAGGGCCGAAGCCGACCCGACCGGAGCCCCATGACGGCCTAAAAAGGCCTCAGAGACGGCCCCCGAGGGCAGTGTGGACGGCGCCAAGAGGCAATACTTGTGCGTTTTCCGAAGGTTTAGAGGGTTTCCTATTCCCGCCACTTCGGGCCTACAACAGGATGGCCCCGGGGGCTTCCCAGATCGCCCGCACTGTCCAAGAGGGCCCCAGGAGGGCCCCCATGCAGACGGCCCAAGAAGGCCCGTAGACGGCCCAAGAGGGCCCCAAGACGGCCCAAGAGAGTTTCAAGTGATTGCCAAATCAGCCCCAACCGGGCCCCATATCCCGCCCCAGCTGGTCCAAAGCGACCTCCGAAACGGCCCGAGACCCCCAAGATGGCCCCAAGACGCCCCAAGAAGGGCTCCAGATGCCGCCCAAGAGGGCCCAAAGCGACCTCCGAGACGGCCCGAGACCCCCAAGATGGCCCCAATACGCCCCTAGAAGCCCCGGACACGGTCTCAGAGGGCCCCAGCCACGGCCTCCGAGCCCCAGACGTCTCGCCGATTCTGACTCCACCTTCCCATCGACCTCTTTTCCTTCTGCAGACTTCGGCCGCGTTCGGGCCCCCACTCAAAAGCTGACTAGGGGTCACGGCTTCAGGCAGCCCGAATATCGCCCCGAGACGCTCCGGAGGGCGCGAGGACTTCCCGAGAGAGCCCGAACGGAGCTCCATGACAACCAAGGACGGCCCGACGACGGGCCAGGTGCCTCCGAAGACAGCCCAGCTGGACCCCGATAACGTTCCCCCGAGGCTAAAACCATCGATTCCCCATTGGTTCTTCGAGGGTTTCCATCCTCTCGCCATTTCGGGCCAAGAACGGCTCCAAATGGCTCCAGGGCCATCCCAGATCGCCTCAAGACAGGCCCCGCCAAGTGCCCCAAGAAAGCCCCAGAGGGCTCCAAGACTGCCCAGGAGAAGCCCAAGAAGCCCCGAGGTAGGCCAAGAGGGTTCCTAGAGGCTCCGGAGAAAGGGGCCGAAGGGAGTCCAGACGACAGGCTCCCCGCAGCGTCCTAGAGACCCCCAAAACGGCCCAAGAGGGCCGCAAACTACCCGAAGAGGACCCTTAGAGGCTTCCCAATAGGCCCCCACGACGGTCCAAGAGAGCCGCAAAATGGTTGAAGAGGGCCCCCAGAGGCTCCAGAGAGACCCCCAGGAGGCCTTGAAGAGGGTCTGAAGAGAGCCCAGACGACGCCCCTCCCGCAGACCCCAATGGGCCAATAACCATCGCATTCCCAGGGCCTTTCCGCGAAGCCCTAGAGTCGCTCACAAGTCTCCGACGCTTGCCAAGAGACTCCGACAGTTCCCACGGAGCTCCCAAGAGCGGTCCCGGGAAGAGACCCCCGTAGTTCCCACGGAGCTCCCAAGAGCGATACCAGGACCACCCCGAGATGGCCCAGAGTCGCCCTCAGGTCCTCCCCCCCTACGGCCGATTAGAGGTGACGGGGGGTACCTCTGATCTCTTTCCTCCTTCCCTCATCGAGGCTCCAGCCGCTCTGGGGCCTCCACTCTGCCTGTTCGGGGTGGCAGGGGTAACCTGCAGCTACTTCGGTCACTCCTCCTCTACGGCCGATGAGGGGTGTCTAGGGGGGATCTGCAGACACTGCGGGGACCAAACGTCTCGCTTCCCCCCTACGGCCGAGTAGAGCCCTCGGTGGCCCCCAAGACGGCCCCAAGACCACGAGAGCCCTCCCTGGAGCATTCTGAAATCGCGCACAGACCCCCGGGATGTTCGAAGACAGCCTCCAGCCCCAGCTCCTGGAGCCTGCAGCAAACCCTGCAGCTAACCTAAGGGGTGACAGGGGAGACCTTCTGACATCAACTTCACAGCACGCACGCACAGTAAGTTTCCCGGGCTGTCCCCCAGATGGAGCTCTGGGGGACAGCCTGGGAACGGCCCCAGAGGCGCCCCCAAACCGCAAGAGACCGTCAAGACGCCCCAAACAGGCTCGCAGAAGGGCTCAACATGCCCCAGACACTGCCCCAGGGACACCCGCGCTGTTCAGCTTCGACGAGCTGTTCACCCACGGCGTGTGAGCCCCAGGTTCAACACACAGTGAATTGAATCCACGGATTCATACTAGTCATCAGCTACAGCGTTGGGATCAGTGCGTGCGAGAAGGGCGAGCAGTGGCAGCGGGCGCTGGCGCTTTTGAGCGAGATGAAGGAGGTGAAGCTTGAGCCCAACGACTTCAGCTATAGCGCTGGGGTCACCGCGTGCGAGAAGGGTGGGCAGTGGCAACAGGCGCTGAGCATTCTCAGAACCGTACGTCTGAGAAAGTTGGACGTTGACTTCATGGCCTACGGAAATACAGCCAGCATGTGCGAGCAAGGCGGGCAATGGAGCCAAGCGTTGGCTTTATTGGGGGAGGTGCGTGACTTAGTTACAGGGGAATGATACAATCAATGCCGTGTTCGATATTTTTCTTTGGGTTCAGCTGCATCGTTGGGACCAGCTCCTGGGAGATGTGCGAGCTATGGCCGATCGCTGTGGACCTGCTGAGCAAGGTGTGGAACGCGAAGCAGCTGGAGCCCGAAGCCATCTCTATGATCGAGGGCTGCACCCCCCCTTCGCCCAAATGCATTTGGGATCGAGCCCCTCCCTTCGCTGGATGTGTACGCCCGTGAGTTTGCGAAGGCATCGCGAATGGGATCGCTGCCCCCCTGTGGTCGTGGCCCTGTGGGCGCGGCGTGGTGGAAGGTGCCAGTGCTCCCTCCTCCCCCTGCGGGTATGGGTTGGTTTTTCGTCGTCGTCGTCGTCGTCGTCGTCGTCGTCGTCGTCGTCGTCGTCGTCGTCGTCGTCTCCCCCTCCCATCCAATCCCATCCCGCGAACCCTGCACATAGCAACGAAAGTGTCACGAATTTCGGCGATGAGAGGCTGCGGATGAGGAGCAAGTCTGGTCTCAAGTGCAACCTCGTCCGGGCGAGCTGCCAGCAGAGAGGACCCAGCTCAAGAGGGCCAACAATTAGCAAAGGCCAAATCGATGTGTCACGGAATAATTGCCCCATGGAGGTGTTGAATATTCCAAAGGACCCAGAAAATCGCATGCACGAAGTGATCCAGACTTGGTTCGCATTGAGTTGGCCGGCGCGTCTTGCCTTCGGACGGCCTCCGGGCCAATGGGTGGGCCTGCCAACTAGCCACTCAGTGCGTCGTCATTGGCTTCCACGGTGAGTGGATTTTGCTCATGCAGTCTGCCCCCCGCGCCGACTGCCACCCGCGATGCCAACAGATACCAGCAGCACGGCACTGAGGGAAACGCGTTGGAGGACAGCACTAGGGCACGACATCCAAGAGTGGTTTGTACGATTGATGCCATGTGCACGGCGTGGAGGAGTTCTATGGGTTGTCGCAGTGCGAAGTTCAGCAATACGACGAGCACCAACGGCATGACGCTGGCAGCACGACGGCGAGCAGCACTACGGACTCTGCGTGTTGCCCTGAGCCGCCGCACCAACTCAGACTCCGGCACCTATTCCAACTCCGACCTCAGTTCTGTCGCCAATCTTCTCAACCAGCGCCGTTCGCAACTCCGGCTACGGCTTCGACGCCGTCTCCGACTCCAGCCCCGAGGCCGTCATCGACCCCGACGGCGACTCCAGCGCCCAGACCAGCGACAGCTCCCAAATCCATATTGCCACTGCCACTGCTAGCAGCTCCACTCCCACGACCACGATAACCATCACCAATACATCCTCCATGAGCACAGCCTCTTCCGAGGATGCGCTGGCATCCCACGAACCCTCCGTCGATGGGATGCTGTATGAGCGGCCGTTCCCGACACCGGCAACGACGCCAGCACCGACGCCAGCGCGGTGACCAGCAGATTGGAAGCAATGGCAAGCTCCAGACACCAGAGGTTGGCAAAGGTCTCGGGTGCCAGTCGCACGAAGTTGCACCGCCCTTCGATTTCGCCACCCGCAGGAGCTGAGGACTAGGCTCGACGAGTTCTGAGGGCATCACGGTCCGCGGCGAATCTCGAGGAAATCTCCGAGGAAATCTCCAAATTGTGTTTGGGCATTTCCAAACTCTCAGGAAAATCTCTGGGCTCCAAAATATCCCGGGAAATCAACGGAAAATTGACAGGCGTTACAAATCTCCGGGGAAATCTCCGGAAGATCTCCGTCGTGCAGATCTCAAGGAAATCTCCGGCTAATCTCTGACGTGCAAAAAGAGCTCGCGGGAAAATCTCCGGAAGATCTCCGGCAAACCTCTGGAAAATCTCCGGCGCGCAGAAGTCTCCATAACATCTCGGGATAATCTCTGGCAAATATCTGGATAATCTCCGGCAGCAATTTTGTTGAAGATTTTCAGGTCGCGGAGTTGTTCTAGATTCGCCGGGGATCCTTTCACGGGCGAAGAATGTTTGTAGATTCGCCATAATACTCTTATGGCACTAAGATGTGTTGGAGATTCGTTGGGCGGTCGTGTTTGCCATAATCGACCCAGACTGAATCTTGAGACACCTCTCGCGCCGGAGGGCTTGCAGAAAATAGCTCCCCGATGTGGCCTCGGACGCCCGGGAGCGTTGTTTCTGCGATCCTTCCCGTCCCCAGCGCGTCCCAAGAGGTGTGGGGGAGGTCCAATCATCTTGGGCCCCCGCCTTGTTCCTCCCCGCCGTCGCTCTTCTCCGCCACAGGCGCTCCTGCTGTTGCTGCTGTAGCTGCCGCCTCTGCCACTGCAGCCGCTCTGCTGCTGGAGCTGCTGCTGTTGCTATGCTCGTGCGCCTGGATCTGCTGCCGATGATACTGCCAGCGCTGCCCTGGACGCAGTCATAGTCATTGAGCAGCGAGGGTGCCCTGCAGCAGTGAGTAGCAGCAACCGCTCTCGGACCACTGGCACTCGTGGACGGTAGCCTGCCAGAGGGAACAAAGATTCAAACGGCTCCAGACTGGCCCCGGCCAGACGGTCCCACAGGGCCGCAAGACAGCCCAAGAGGGCTCCAAGAGCACCCCAAGAAGGGCACCCCGAGGCCAAAATCTATACTGTTTCTCAGGTTCTGAAGGGTTTCAACGTTCTCGCCTTTCCAGATTCTCGACATTGTAAGACGGCCGCAGAGACCTCTAAGAGAGACCCAAAACGGCCCAACAGGCCCCCAGACAACCCAAGAGGGCCCAAAGACGACTGCAACAAAAAATCCAGCAGGGCTCAAGATGGCCCCAGGACGGCCCAAGACAGCCCAAGATGGTCCCAAGACGGCCCAAGACAGCCCAAGATGGCCCCCGAGGGCCAAAGCCGCCGACGGGGAGGCCCCAACATGGCTCCAGCTTCTGACAGCCCAAGGCAGCCCAGGCCCAAGCCTCTTCCAAGATAGCTCCAAGACGACCCGAGAGGCCATTCAGAGGGCCCCGCGCCTGAGGACCAGCCGGCTGGGGCCGCCAAGCGGATGACCTAAGGTTCAGTCGGGCCTGTCCCTCTACGGAAGGAAGAGTCAAACATAGCCAAAAAATCGTCAGAGGACGATTTGTTCCGTATTTTTGAACATGTTTGAATAGTTGTGTTTGAAGTCTGTTTGGAGTATGTTTGATGTGTCCTCCAATCCTCCAAAATCCGCCTGTGGGGGGACACGCCCGACCTAAACCTCAGGAAGCTTGCATCACCCGCGCGCCGCGCCCCCCCAGCTCGCACACCGGGGGGGGCCCGCGGGCCGAGGCCGCCCGGGCGAGCGACCTTAAGGAACGCTCGTTTTCGGCCACCCGCTCCGCGGCCTGCACCGGCGGGGCCCAGGCCCAGACCCCCCTCGAGCCATGAAGAAATCATGACGGCAGCTTTTCCGCTATGTTTTCAGCCTCGCCGGGCCCTCGCCGGGCCTCGGGACGTCGAAAAGCGGCGCAGGATGAGGAACCCGTCCTGGGGGATGGGTCCGGACCTTTGGGGATCGCGTCGTGGAAAAATCATGACGTCGGGGGTCTGGGGGGGGGCCACCAGGCCACCTCAACGGCCCACGATCAAGGGAGGAACAACCACTCGGACCGGTCAACTGGCGCTAACGAAACGGATGCCGCGCAGCAGCGGCCGCGCAGCAGCGGCCACGGTCCAGCCAGCCGTCGAGGCCGCAGCTGCGGTCTCGGCGGTCTCGGCGGCCGCGCCGCGGCGGCTACTGCTGCGCGGAAGGTCCGGAAGGTGGAGGTCGAGGGAGACCACCCGCTCCGCGCTCTCCCGCCAGAGGGCCTGGGGCCGTCCCCGTCCCCACGGCCCCGAGCCTCGGTCGGCGCCGAGCCCGTTGTAATCATCGCAGATTTCCGGCAACATCCCCAGAGGTCCAACGCATTGAAACAAATTGAAGGGAAGTTTTCCTAAATTTTCGGCCTCTAGGGACCCTCGACGGGCCCCGGGACCGTCAAAAAGCGAGTCAGGATGAACAACCAGTCTTGGGGAATGTGTCGAGACTTCGGGGGACCGCGCATTGACAAAAAACACGACATCGGATCTCTGGGTCTCCGCCCCGACCCCGCGAGCCTTGTTGGAGACTCCAAATCCCTTATGAATCGACCCCCCCCCAAAAAAAAACTGACCCCCCTCCAAATGCACCTAATATTCCGGACCCCCCTCTTCGACGGGTCTCCTTCATAAACGAGACCCGCTAAGCTCCAATCCAAAGAAAGCGCCGCGCCCTAATAAACCGATCCCCCCAGTTACAAAAACAGGCGCCTTAAAAACCATACCCAGGGGACGATTAATAGGGGGCTTTGAGTAATCACCACATATTTCTGGCAGCATATCCGCCCCGACCCCGCCAGCCTTGTTGGATAGGTTCCGAGGTCGCCAATATGGTTTTCAGACGGCCCCATAGTGCCAGAAGACGACCCAAAAGGGCTCCAAAAGGCCTCCAAGAAGGGCCCCGAGAGGCCGAAATCGGTGACTTCCCTTCGGGGGTTGGAAGGGTTTCAGCGTTCTGGCCTTTTCGGAGTCTCCGCGCTCCAAGCCGGCCCCAGGACCCCCAAGATCGCGCCAAGACAGCTCCCAGACAGCCCAAGAGGGCCCCAAGGTGGCCCAAGAAACCCCCAAGACGGCCCAAGACAACCACAAGAGGGACCCACAAGGGGGAACTCGAAGTAACTAACATGTCGCGCCCTCCGCTCCAGGATGATCCCTGAAACCGACAGCTGGCCCCCAAGAGGCACCCCAATCGCCCCAGAAGACCCCACAGTGCCGGAAGACGGCCCAAGAGGGCCCCAGGAGGCCCCCAAGGAGGGCCCCAAGAGGCCAAAAACATGTGTTTCCCATCAGTTATTGGGCGTTCTCGCCTTTTCGGTGTCTCCACGCTCCAAGCCGGCCCTGGGGCTTCCAAGGTCGCGCCAAGATGGCCCGAGACGCCCCCAAGAGAGTTTCTGGACAGCCCAAGAGGGCCCCAAGACGGCCCAAGAGGACCCTAAGACAGCCCAAGACGGCCCTA